TTTCATTATTTAAAATACCCTCATTAGTTAAATTTAATTACAATAAATTTTAAAACTAACAAAAAAATAGTAACATTCAAAAATAAAAAATAATAATATTGAATATTAATATTTGAAAAAAATAAAAATAGTAACATGGTTAACAAAAAAAAAAAGTAACATTGAATATTGATATTTCGAAAAATAGTAACTTCAATATTAATACTAACATACTCATAAAAAAAATAATAACATGCACAACAATAAAATAGTAACACGAAAAAAAAATAGTAACATTCAATATTAAATTAACTAAAGTCTTTTTAGCCAAAAAAAAAAAATAGAGAGAGAGAGAGAGAGAGAGAGAGAGAGAGATCTTGTGATGTCAAATTTAAATTTAAATTTTTGATCTTATGAAAAAAAAATCTTATATTAAGTGTGAATCAATGATGACTGGTTATGAAACTGATTTAATGTTGAAAATTGTTTTTAAAGTTATTAGAAGGACATTTTAGAGTTTCAAATTCATTATAAGTCGTTTAAAGAAGAATCAATCTCTATTTTCACATTAAATAATTGTGATTATAAGAACATGCCCTACTATGCGAATCCGAGAATCAATAGTCAACATTTTTGGACATAGAATAGAGATAATTGACAGCAAATCCGCAGTTTATATTCTAATAGGTAGGTTTGTCAAAATTCAACACGATACGAATCGACACGGATTAAACAGGTTTGCGTGGAACCTTAACGGGTAAACGTGTTAAATGGGTCAACCCGTTTAACATGTTTAATAAACGAGTCGTGTTCGAGTGATACATGTCAACCTGTTTATCACCCATTTAAATAAAATTAATATAATAATATATTAATAATTATTTTAAAAAAATTAAACATATATTTTTTTTAAATGATAGCTAGCCAGTAGCCACACAAAAAATATATAAAGTTATTTTGTTCTAAACGGCTAAACCTAATCTAATTCCTTATTCTATTCAGGCTGAAGCTTTGCGCCTCCTGGCACCTGCCCTCCATTTCTGCTATTCTTCTCCATTCTCTCTCTTTTTCTCTCTCTCTCTCTCATAGCGAGCTGCGAACAGCAGCACTAACCTGCAAGTTGCGAGATCGAGAGACCTACGAGATCGACCAAGACTTCGAGTTCGAGCAGATCTGTGTTAGATCGAGCGAGTTGCAAGATCGAGTAAGACTTTGAGCAGATCTGTGTTAGATCTGTAAATATTCTTTGTTATTCTGAGTTAGATCCGTAAATATTTTGTTATTTGTTGGGTGTAAACTTGATTTCATTTGTTGAGAGATCATGAGTTTAACTGAAATAAAAGAATTGAAGTAGTTCAGTCAGTGTGCGTTGGATCTTTTGAGAGAGAGAAATGTATAAGACGAGCCTACCTTGTTGGTTGGTTGTGTACATCAAAACGCGTAAAGTGATGGTTGATAGAGCTTTCTTTACTTTATATAATGGATGAGCCAGATGTAGGAGGGGAAAAAAAGAAAGGGTAAGTGGGAAAGGGAGACAGAGCTTAGAGAAGCCAGAGGAAGTGGGTGTGTTGGCATACTGTTGTTGAATGATAGTTTTTACATGGATTATTATATTGTATATTTTTTTGTATATTTACTGTTTGTTGATATTTACTGTTGTTGATATATTTTTTTTGTATATTTACATGGATTAATATATACTGTTTGTTGAATGGTAGTATTTACATGAATTATTTTTTTGTAGTTTTTACATGGGTGTGTTGGCAAGAAAATATATATTGTTCTATCATATTGTATATTTTTTTTGTTACATTCATTTGTTAAGAGAAAAGGAGCAAGATTGAGATAGTCAAAGAACTGAGAATAATAAAAAAATTTATAAATAATCAAAAGTCTTGTATAAATATTTGATTTGTTATTATTAATTTGACTTTTAGAAATATATAATTTTATTTGAGATGGATTAGTTATTGTTGGAGCATTTATTATAAAAACTGCGGTAAAAAAAAAAAAGTCTAATGCAGAACCATTATCGACATTATTTTTTATATCTAGAAAATCTGGAGCAACCAACACAATTATAAGATGAGGGATGAAAACACCTCATTCACTTAATCAGGCTTGGTGATATGTTTTTATCAAAGGTATTTGAGGTCAATGTCTCCCCGTTTTCATACTGGTTGCATTAAACACCTAATGTTTGTTTTGTACTTGAATTATTGACCTAAACTGTCTAGTATAATACCAAATGACATCGAGTTTGATGTCATCTCTAGAAGACTAGAACTGGCATAGATTCTTACTTATCATTATATCCTTGCTTTGTCATTCCACTGCATCCAAAGATTAACATAAGGGATAAAAAACAGATTTCTCTCTAATATGGATTTGATTGACATGGAGGGAAGAACGAGAAGATTGATGAACAAAGTGGGAATGACAAGCAATAAAATCCCTTCATTTTTATTTTTAATATTACACTAACATCACTTCATAATTTTTTTGTTTTAAACAGATGGATTCTTCCGAACACAATATTATAATTTCTAATGAAGAAGATCAGGTCGGACATGAATCTAATGTAATTGCAGCTCCACCAATACAGACATCAACTAGTACAACTACAGAAAAAGATAAATCTAATCGTAAGCGACAAAAGACTTCGATAATATGAAAATACTTTACAGAATTAAATGAAAGACTTCGATAGTATAAAAATACTTTAAACTTTTGTCTCGTGCTCCCTCCCCATACTGGTATTGCCTTGTATGAGAAAATTTATATATTTTTGACTGATTGGGGAATTGAAAAGAAATTATTTTCTTTGACATTGAATAATGCTTCTAGTAATGATTGTTTTGTTGAGTTGTTGAAGAGTCAACTTAATCTTAAAAATGCTCTCTCGAGGAATGATGAATTCTTTCATGTTCGGTGTTGTGCACATATTCTTAATTTGATAATTTAAGATAGACTTAAAGAAATTGATGAATCAATGATAAAAATTTCAAAAAACATCAAATATGTTAAAGGTTCATCGGGAAGGAAAAAGAAGTTCATGGATTGTGTTACTCAAGTTTCATTAAACAATTCCTATTTCTACAGTTGTATCTGAATCTGCATTTAGTACCGGTGGTAGAGTTTTGAATAAGTATCGAAGTTCACTTTTGCCAGAAACTGTCCAAGCTTTGATCTGTACTAGAGATTGGATTCATGGAAAGAGCAGTAAGTTTAATTCTATTTACTAATATTATTTTTCTCATTATACTAATTCATGTGATCATTGATTCATTTATGTTTTGCTTTGCTTAGTTATAGATGATTCTAGTGATGATTCGGAAGGGGAAATAAATGATGATATTTTCAATCAAAATATGAAGTCTAATAAAGTTATATCTGCTCAATGTTCTAATTCTATGTCTATCATTGATCATGACTACAGAGAGGCAATGCCAAGTTTTTAGTACTTATATAGTTATGAGTCTATTTAATTATTAATGTTTTATAATATTTTATTTTAATTTGTGTAGGGCATGAGAATTTAGTTGTTGAATTTGCTCGTTGTCATGGAGGTAGAGATTTGATATCTTTCATGAGATTTTGTGAATCATGGAATTTGTGTTTGTTTGAAATTGTGGTTTGTAATATGATTGTTATTTCGGATTGTATTTATGATTTATAATATGGTTGTTGGTGAAATTTGGATATTTTGGAATATAGTTTGTACTTTATAATATGGTGCGGTATGATATCTCTAAATATCATATTTATTTGTGCTAATTTGTTAGTTTTATGATGTTCTAAAGCATTTTTAAATAAACAGGTAAAATGGTTAAATGGATGACTTACCGTGTTAAATGGGTCAAATGGGTTAAAAGAGTGATAAATGGGTCAAACGAGTGGTTTATCGTGTTAACCCGACCCAATCTAACTTGACTCGTTAAAAATTAAACTTGTTAAACGAGTCGTGTGTCGTGTTACCCGTTTATTAAACGGTTTGTGTTCGTATTTTAATTTTTTATTCATTTATTAAACGTGTCATGTACGAATTTATATGTTTTTCACCCGTCACCCGTTTAATCGGACACGTAATCGTTTAATCTGATACGTCTGACACTCCAACTGATAGGTAGCGGATAAAGATGAATACAGGCGGTGAAGGTACCCACGTCGTGATTGTAAGGGGCCAGAAAATACTAAAAGTAGACAGCTAACATGGCTGGCAAAGCATTACCAGCAACCATTCCTTATCAGCCAATTGTCATCCCCACCACACACATACATAATAATGTACAGCACTACGACATTGTTATTCACCACACACGCACACGTACACGCACATATATATATATATATATATATTATAATTAGTATTGTGATTATTCTATAATATTTTCGGGGAGTGCTGATGAGCTGTAGAGGATGTCTCTATACTTTAGCATCATCCATGGCTTAAACTTTGAGATTTGGTTAACCTCCATTTGTAATGCTGATGATTGAACAAAGCAATCATTGTCCTTTTATTAACATTTGATTAATGGTTACAGTTGCTTTGTACACTCCAAATCATCACCAAAGTGGGTCCCTCATTTTCTTATTTTTTTTTTCCTCGACACTGCTCAATCAAACCAGAACTATCATGCAAGATTGACGGAAATTACAACTTAATCCCACAGATAAAGAGGGGACAAACAAAAAAAAAAAAAATAGAAAAAGAAACTAAGTAGGTATAAATGCTTCATAATCTTATCTTATATAAAACAAAGCATTTTATTTTATAAAACTATAATTGTCTAGATGGTTTTGATCTGGCAATTTATTTTACTTTTTTAATCATAATAAATTTATTTATTTGTATTTAACCTTTTAACTACATTACATATTTTAACCATATATATCGTTTAATCATAATAAATATTTTAACCACAGGAGAAAGAGTGTACATTTCAGGGAGCACCCTGTAAGATTGCTCAAAGCATGCTTGCTAAACTGTCAAATCAAGCTAATTTCGGTGAAAAAAACAAATCATCCACTACAATCCACCAACTTACAAATTATGTTGATATGGTGTGATTTTTAAGGGAAACCAATCACCCCAAGAGAGAAGCAATGTAACATAGCACAAAAGACCAAAAGCAATCAACAAGACATCATCTCTTTTATATATAATTTTATCTCTTTGCAAACCCAAAACTTCTGAGGAGGAGGAGGAGGAGGAGGAGGAGGAGCAGGGACGTATAAGTTATCCAAACTAAAATTGAAAATCACCTCCCCAAAAATATGGGAAAGGTTAATAAACCCTGCAAGAAGAACCAAATGGGAGAAGAAGCAAGGAAGAAACAAACAGAATGAACAAACTACACCTCAGATGAGCCACCAACTAGAACCCCACTGTCCATTGATTATGTTTTTAGCTTCATCGTCCATCGGCGGATGTAAATGAATCAGCAAAACCAGATGGCCTAGTAGGTATGCTGGTTTGGGTGTTATCGCTGCTGCCAATATAAGATGAAGAACCATCAATGCCGCTCATTCCTTCAAGAGCCTTCCACTTATTCACTGCCTGTGGTAAGGTCATATCATAATCGATTCCATACACGTCTTCAGGATCAGGGTCTGCTGGTTTCCAGAGCTCAGCGAGAGATGAGAGCACATTGACTGCATGCCCCATATCGGGCCTCTGATGGGGTTCCCTTGCACAGCAGTGGCCAGCCAGCTCAGCAATAGTGTTGATACTGGCAAGAACTTCCTCATCAGGATCGATCACGGGATCAATGGCCTCACGGAATGAGTCCTTGTTGATGGTCATTCTACGGAACCATGGGACGAGATGGATGCTATCCTCCTGCTGGGTTTCATCTAGTGCTTTTCTTCCCGTAATCAGCTCCATTAGAATCACTCCAAAGCTGAACACATCAATCTTAGTAGTTACTCGTCCAGTCACTGTCCGTCCAGCCACAAGTAAATTTTAATCAATAGATTCATAGAAGAGAATTCCTTTATTGACTACCACAAGCCATAAACACCATATTTTTTTCTCAGTGAACTTGATGAGAATCTGGGAAAACCTCTAAACAGAGGAGGTCTATCAGGTTAAAACATTCAGAGAGCAGAAACCACTACAGCCTTTTATCAAAATGCTTGAAAACAAAATAAGGGCATTTTCCAAATAGTCATCATTGAGATATGATATGCTAACAAAACGATAAAGTCCTAAGGGTGATTGTTCTCCTCAAATACCTAGGTTCTCAAAAAAGTTAAGAAGCCAAATTAATGATGTGAAATGCAATATAGTTGAAGCTGGGAGTCTTCTATAGTTAGCTCCACTTTATTTTAAAGCAGCATGTAACAGTCACATGTTTAAGTTAAGCAACTGCACACCTGAAACCCACTCAACTAATATAAGCTCCATCAGCAAAAGTAGTATCACATCAAAAGCAAACATAAGGATAACCATTCAGTAATCCAATCTTGTGAAGCGGAAAATAAATTGAATGCAACACGGAAAAAAATTGGCCAAAACTGCATAAGAAAATAATGGAGCCTATTTTGCCAGATATAGCGCATTCTACGGTCACAACTTGGTGACGTGGATCCCTATTTTGCAGTTCATCTCATCATCTCAATGGCCTGAATTCTATGCAATTAAATTATCTCCAATTTTTCCAAGTCTTGAAAGCTAAAAAAAACACAATGGCATATTCACAATTTGCTGCTCATCCCCTGCTTTGACGGTACACAGTTTCTCACTTTCTTGTTTGGAGTGATGCTGCTTAATGTTCTCCTATTATTTATGGGTAAAGGATTTCAATTTTCTTTACTTCTTGTGTTCTGGTCATTTTATGCACAACCAACTAGAAATTTTCAAAGCATGAGGAGGAAGAGTACAGTAGCTTGGAAGTTCTAATTAAAAGAGGAGTTGAAACATGTTACCAGCATATTCAGGTGCAAGATACCCAAACGTTCCAGCTAGTCTTGTCACGACTGAAGCTTTCCCTTCGGGAGCAAGACGAACCAGTCCAAAATCTGCAACTTTAGCCCGCATATCATCTCCCAGAAGAATGTTGGATGGTTTAAGATCCCTGTGAATAAAACTTTGTTGGGCTAAACTATGTAGATATTCAACACCTCGGGCTACATCCAATGCAATAGTCAGCCTTTTCATCCATTCGAGGGGGTTCAATCCTTCTTGCTTCCAGTTGAACAGATGCTGGCTAAGAGTACCCTGGGGCATGTACTCATAAACAAGTAGCCTCTCATTTCCATCCAAGCAATAACCTAGAAGCGCAACCAAATGCCTATGTCGGACCTTAGTAAGAACCGCAATTTCAGACTTGAACTCATCCAAACCCTTCTCACTCAAGACCCCAGATTCCATTCTCTTAACCGCAATCTTAGTCCCATCATGCAGCTCCCCTTTGTAAACAGTTCCAAATCCACCTTTTCCAAGTATATTCTTTTCACTGAAGTTGTTAGTCACATTCTTTAGAACCTGGATGGAAATCACCATGTTTCTGGACTCAACGATATGAATGTCACTAGGTCCACTGCTTCCAAGACTGTAAGTTTCACTTGCCCCGCCATTAACACTAGAACCAGCCACCGTGATTTTAACAGTATCGTCAGACCCCGAATTACGAGGATGAATTACCACGGTATTTGGATGAGGTACACCACCAGGACGCTTATGTTTGGCCCTGTAAACGCAGACAAATAATCCAGCAAAGAGAACTGCAGCACAAACACCACCAACTATTGAACCCACAACAACACCAGTCGAAGATTTATTGCTACTATTTCCAGGAGCCTCTGGTGTATTACCCGTGGGCGAGCCTGGTGTATTACCTGTGGGTGAGCCTGGTATATTACCGGCCGGTGACCCTGGTGTATTTGGAGGAGGAGAATTCTTCCCAATATTGGCGTTGCCATCAATTTTTACAAGCACATTGCTCCTGAACGATGGAATTATACCATACAGCTGATTGTTTGAAACATCCAACTCTCTGAGGTTAGGCAAATTTGTAAGCTCATTTGGAATAGAACCGGTAAGATTATTATTTGCAAGGTTCAATGTTAGCAATGATGTAATCGATGAGAAGTTTGGAGAAATCGTCCCTGTGAGTCCCTTACTTTGAAAATTCACCACAGTTATATTGCCATTAACGCATGTTATCCCCAACCACTGTGCGCAAGGGTCATTTCCCTTCCAGCTACCCGCAAACACAGTCGGATAACCCACATCTTCCACAACAGAAAGCAAATTATTCACACGAGGATCACAATCAACCCCAGCATCACTTAAACAAAAACTATTAGACCCAGCATTCATATCCACTAGAACTGAAGATTTAAACTTCGGAGCTGGTCCTTGCAACATATTATTAGTCAAATTAACAACCATAAGCGAAGGAAGATCTACCACAGATGCTAGTACCGGACCCGTAAAACTATTATCCCTCAAACTCAAATTCTGCAAATGTGTCAAACCAGAAAAGTCTGGTAAGGGACCAGAAAATGAATTCCCATGTAACCAAACTTCAGTCAATTGAGCCATGTTCTGTAGAACATCAATTCTGCCATTCAACTTAGAACTACTTTTCTGTCCATTTAACCATAGAGATTGAATTAAAGACCCTGAAAAACTAGAGGGCAGTCCACCTTCAAGATAATTGAAAGCTAAGTGCAAGTTTGTCAATCCAGGAAATGTATCGGGGCCAAGAAAATCAGGGATTGCCCCGGAAATATTAGCAGAAGTGGCTGAGAAAGTTTGGAGAGCTGAAGCACTTTTGAGACTATCAGGTATAGACCACGAAGAAAATAAATTGTAGTCAAGAAAAACAGTTTGTAAAGAGGTCATACCATCGAAGAAATCAGAGGGTATAGCTGAGAAATTGTTGTTACTGAGTAAAGTGGTTTGGAGTGAACTCAACCCGGAAAAACTCGGCAGCTGCCCAGTGAGTTGATTGAATTGAACTTCAAAAACCTGTAGATCAGTGAGATTGTTGAGGTTTGGAGGGAGTGACCCTGTGAGCCCTTTACGCCCGATTTGGATCCGAGTGATCCGTTTGTCCTTGGAGCACTGAACATTTGCCCAATTACATGGGTCTGAGTCAGTCCAGCCGAGTGAACTCGACGGGTTGAGACTTTTCTTCAGTTCTTGCATTACTGAGGCATCTGTGGCACTTGACTGAGAGTGAACAGAGAGAATAACTGAGAGCAGACAAAGAAAGACAAAACCCAGAAGAGGTTTCTTCATCTTCGCAAAAAAATGCCGCGAAATCGTCAAGAAAATGCAAGAAAATTATTGGGTTTTGTATCAGTTTCAAAAGAGTTAGTTTTTTTTTTCTAAGGTTTTAATTGAGCATTTGGGGAAGGAGCTGGGTAAGGAACATGGGTGTCTCAGGGAAGAGAAAGTGGGAGAGAGGGAATTTTTGGGGAGCAGATAGAGCGGCGGAGATGGAGGAAGGAGAAATTTAGACAGGAGAGAGAAAAAGGAGAAGTTACAGACAGGACGTGCGTTTCCATGGGGGTAGGGAGTATTGTGTTGTCTGTGTGTGGAGAAGAGGGAAAGGAAATCGGGATGCAGTTGGCACATGCGTGTGGGGCCAACTTTGTTTTTAATGCATGGACGCACACAAAAGCTTCCAAGGTAGTGCATGTATGCTAAGGAGATTTAGATTTATATGGTTACTTAAATAATTTCTTTGCCTTCCCTTTTGTTTTCCACTAATTGTTTTAATTGTGTCACATTGTTGACTAAAAGAAATAAAATTTTTTTTTAATACATTTTAATTTATTCAAAATAGTTAATCACACTAATTATTATTTTTTAAATTTATAATATACAACAGGGCATATAGTTTCTAATATACTCATTTAATGATCATCAACATTTTTCTTAAAACTATTTATATTGCATCATACATTCAGACTTGAATTATTCCTAATTATTTTATACTTCCTTGCTGGATATGTTGTGTCAATTTTACTTTTTTATTTCTTGGGTCAATTAACTTACCAACCTTTTACTTTTTTTTTTAATCACTTTGAATTCATTTTAACATTAAAAAAAATTAATAATTTAAAAAGCTGAATGTATTTTACTCTTTCTTTGATAAATTATTCACTTTGTTAGTGGTTGCAATGAGATCCTAAACTTCTAGATTTTTTTAATAAAGGAAGGTAAAATGTAATAATTAAGAGTTTCAATTTTCTCATCATTACTTAAAAATATAATAGTAAAAGAAATTCTTGGATGGTTCATAAGACCAACCCTGCTTCAATATTGATAAAGTCAATCCTCTTTAAATGGTCATCTCTAATTTGATTTTCTCAAATTTATATTAAAAACTTAATTTAATAAAAAAATATTCTAATCAAGAAATTTAAAATTAAAAAAAGAAAATTTTAAATTTAAAGAAGGACAAAAAATTACTATTATATATTTAAAAAGGGGTAAAATCTGACTATTCAATTAATTTTAATACAAAAATAAAGGATAACTATTGGAATTTAATCCAAACCCTCTAATTGTCATGAATGAGAGTTTGTTGGGTAATCGATGTAAGAGTTCTAATAAACTATGAATAAGTTTATTAGTGACCTATCAAATAGGAAATAAATTAGAAAAGTTTTAATATACCATTAATTAATAGGTATATTAGACATGTGATAAAAAAAATAAAAATTAAGTTGTATCTGAATAGATTTGAACTACAATATTTTATCCTTATAAATAAAATTGAGTAATATATAATTAGTTATCAAATGATCATATCTTAGTGAATAATACATTGATGTATATTCTTAATCCAAAGATGTCATGGATGTATGTACAGTGTACTAAGATGGGTATGATGTATTAAACCACTTTATATCTTTGTATTGTATTTTTATTATTTTCCTATTTTGGAATTCTTAATNTGGGTATGATGTATTAAACCACTTTATATCTTTGTATTGTATTTTTATTATTTTCCTATTTTGGAATTCTTAATTTTCAATAAATATTATTTTTATTAATTATTTGCTGTACAAAATTAAAAATAACATTCATTTATTAGGACGATTTATGCAGACCAGTAATTTTTGTTGATTTGGAGAATGGAGACAAATAGACAATGGTTGTTAGTATTTATTATTTGATTAATATAAGATCTATGTTGCTGATTTGGCAATAATTATGGAGAAGTTCGAGGGATATGGAAGGGAAAAAAAGGAAGTGGACCACGCCTGACAACATTCTCAATAATACTATTTAAAAAATTATAAAAATTTTATTTTTTTGTTTACGATACTCGTTAAATTCTTAGTTTCTATATATAGGATCCATTGACCATATTATTTGTATCGAACCTTAATTTAACTCATTTATTACTCGTATCAATTAATCGTGTTATTTTCGAGTATTGTGTCGGATTGGATTTGTGTTAATAGATAAAATTGACATCCCTAATGATCAAAAAAAAAAAATGTACCCTGATTATTAATTTCAAAAGAATTAATTATACAGAATTGAATACCACAAGAATATTTAATTATTTTTGTAACTCAAACTGGGAGAAAATTAATAATAAAAAAATCTAGTGATTTTAGTAAAGTCTTTTGATAAGAAAAAAAAAGTAAAGTCTTTTGGCTGTGCTCGCTTGAGCTGTAATCCAGAATTGCCGAGTTTTCACCAGCTTGGTTTTTGGGCAAGTCTTGGGTTTATGTAAATAAACTTGTACGGAAGTTAAAGTCTTAAATAAACTTGGCTTTGAGATGGTCCCTAACAGAGTAAAATATACTTCTGGGTCCTCAATTATTTGCTTATTCTCACTTGTGTCTATCAACTTCTAGTTGTGTTTTATTTCAGAACGTAGCTGCATCCCTACTCACCTAGTCCATGCACATCACTCTCTCTAGGAGGTTGGCCTCCTATCCTAGACCTTCCCATTTCTGAGAAGATCCTAGGTTCCATCTAATTTAGTATCAAGATGATTCTATTTCCGTTCCTATATAAATAGGTCCATGCGACATTTTCACAATATCATTATGACGAAGTAATGAGACCTGACCACTTTGTCATTTAATTTTGTCCAAATAATTAATAAAAATTGATAAGTTGCAATCATTATGGAATGTTGCAAGTTAGCCGTCGAATTGAACCATTTAAAAAGAAAATTGAAATTTATGAGACAAAAATATTATTATTACAAATTTAGAGACTAAAGTGAGATTGAACACAATTTTCAGTATGGCAAGTATATTTTACCCAAGTTTCTCTATTGTATTAGAGTTG